CAATACATATTTATTTTCATATTTAGAATAATAAATCATTGATTTTATACTTGATTATATAAATCAGCTTTTGGAGATATCCGCCGTGCAATTTTGATGCTTTCTATATATTTACTATTAAATTTTCAAAATCTCTGGCATGCAATTTCCAAACTTTCCAGTTTGGATCCCAATTATTTATTAGACAGGTTCAGATTCAACTACCACTACCACTATCGCTACCTTTGACGGCTCCATTGGTAGCGGTCACGACAGACTGTTTAGACCTGTTCAGATTAGATTTCTCCTGATGACCTTTGTTACGGTCCCAAAACAAAAACATGCGACGATTTCCTCACGCTCTTGCAGTTACTGCGCATGCGTAACACATTTAAGGTAGCGGTAGTGGTAGTGGAAGTCAAATCTGAACCTGTCTATTAACCCAATGAGCGCCGAATAAGTAGGATGTAATGCAACTGAATGGTTAACTTGACACCAGCACTCTGCCCTTGATGAGTAAAATTGTCTGGCATAAGACAGTAAAATTTAATAAAGTAGAGCAGTACTCTTTTGGACACCCCATTCATAGAACAAGTCAGTGAAGCAGGACAAAATCTATTGTTGATGGTCAGATGCATGCTTCGATGTTACTATGTATTTTAATATTATTTAAAAAAATCAAATAATCCAAAAATGGTCTTCACACATATTTCTTCTCTTAAATTACAATTTATTTTATTATGACAAAAGGCTATTGGTTCATACCAGAGCAGGGCTCCCACGCCAGGATTTGTAACATGGTTATGGTATTAAAAGAGTGCAATTTGTATGTGGAAACCAGGTCATCAATGTAAATTGACTCATGCTGTGTCGATGTTCCTTAGCTGCCATTTTGTTCTGACTTGTAACTGTCAAAACTTAACCAGGCTAGACTTTTTTTTATTTATTGGTTTGCAGATTTTAGTTGAAAAAAAAACAGGTCGGTAGGTCGGAAAAAATTTTTTAAAAATATTGTTTTTCAAGATTGTCATAACAATAACCAGCAGTACTTAGAGTCAAGGTTTACTTGGCGTGTACTTTATGTCACCCTAAATTAACTAAAATTAACTACTGTAAAATCGTAAAATTGTTGACATCCAATTTTTTTTTATTTTTCGCTTTTCTGAATATTTACCATCGGTGGATCCGTAAACCAATGAATAAAAAAGTCTCACCTAAATAAATAAATTCTTATTAATTTGTTTCTTGCAGTATAACATATTGGAACCTGGCATTACTGGCACCGAATGTGATATTTCTGATTTTTTTGGCCTACCATATTGGCTTATTCTACAGAATGTTTCAACGACATAATTTTCCAATGGTCAAAACTCTGCTTATATTGGTAAACTTTGTAATTTAAAGCTGTATATATTATTATGTGGTTATGTCTTGGTGATGATAATGGTAACAGTGGTAGTGGTGATGGCCAGATAATGGTGCTGACGATAATAATGGTGGTGACGATGATCATGATTAGGATATAGCTTTGATGGTGATGATAGTGATGGTCCTGGTGACGATAACGATGGTGGTGACGATGATCATGATTAGGATATAGCTTTGATGGTGATGATAATGATGGTCCTGGTGATGATGTCGATGGTGGTGATAATGATAGTGATTAGGATATAGCATTGATGGTGATGATAGTGATGGTCCTGCTGACGATAACGGTGGTGGTGGTGATGATAGTGATGGTCCTGATGACGATAACGATGGTGGTGGTGATGATCATGATTAGGATATAGCATTGATGGTGATGATAGTGGTGGTGTTGGTGACTAAGATGGGAGTGATGATGATGATAATGATGGCCCTGGTGACGATGTCGATGGCAGTGATGATGATGATGATGATGGTAGTGATCCGGATGGCTGATGATTAGGACAGAAGTGATGGTGAATCAACCTTGGTCCTTGGTCTTACCTCTTGTGGAGGAAAGATCATGGTAGTAGCTGGTGATGATGGTGTTAATGGTGAATAGGAGGAAGTGATGATGGTGGTGATGATGGTGATAATGATGGTAGTGATCCTGATGGCTGATGATGGTGGTGATTAGGACAGAAGTGATGGTGAATCAACCTTGGTCCTTGGTCTTACCTCTTGTGGAGGAAAGATCATGGTAGGAGCTGGTGGTGGTGATTAGGACAGAAGTCTGAAGTGATGGTGATGACAGTGGTAGTGGTGATCAGGAGGAAGTGGTGATGTTGGTGGTCATGACTAATGTTATTCAAGTTTAATTATTCTATTAAATCTGTAGGTATCACTGGTATGTGTGGTGAATGTTATACGAGGGTTTATTGCCAGTATAACCAGAGCACACAGCCCGGACGACAACATAGCTAACGAGGTATGCTTACTGAAACACATACTGCATGACATATGACACTCTGGTTATATCCTTGTAATCAATTTAAAACACATTTGTCATTCTAGAGCTTGTGGCTGCTCTTACGTTTTCTTGTCCTTGCAGTGGAAATAAGTGTTATTGGATATGGACTGTTTGGTATTGAAAGTTAACATATTTATGCATGCATTCCACCTTCTTGGATATACATTCGATATGCATATGTCACAATTTGAGAAAAAAACAAAATTTTTATCTTGCAAACCACATGTCATTATCAATATGAAACTCGATTTTCCGAAGTCTTTTTAGTACTCAATTTACTCACAACAATTTAAGAAACTTTTCAAAGAAATTTAATCCCACATGAAGTAGTTTTAACAAGTTTACCCTGCTTGTGACGTCATCAAAAACTCAGTTAATTAGGTCAATTATAATACCAAGATGGTGGACTGCACACTGTTTTTGGTCAAAATATTTTGAAAACCAAGCATTGAGGTCTGAAAAAGTTGTAAAGGATCTTCATATATAAGTTTAAAAGTTCTTTCAAATAAGACCAAGTTCATTTTTATTGCCACATCCCTTTAAATAAAACTTATTTCTTGCAGGCAATGGTCGAGGAAAAGGTGTTGGCAAAAGAGTTATCTCTCTTTCATTTTTTCTTGCTCTTGTTTATGCAACCATACAGGTTTGAAATCATCTTTACTGGCATAAAATGGAATTAAGTCATGCATTATTTATCATTATCGAGGGCACATATTAAAGGGTTAACAGGATGCATGGGCAGTTTGCTAAACCCATTATCAATTAAAAATATCATTACCAGTACTTAATTAGATCATTAATCATCTTAATTATCAATTAGAAATGAACTTAACTATCAATTAAAAATATCATTGTCACTCATTAAGTCATCAAATTGGGTTATTCCAGAAAACATCCATACCACCCACACAGAGGAAATTGGAAGTTAACCCCCCTACTCCCTTCAGATGTCCTAATACATTTACTATTATCAGAAACAATGTTTTCTCCCCTCCCCCTCTGGACGGCAGAAATTTCCTCCATGGAGGGAGTGTGGATCTTTTCTGGAATGCCCCTTTTTAAAATGATTACAATAAAGCTAAACATAAAATCTAACTATTTTTCTTTCAGTCTTTGTTAGAAGTCTACACACCAGATCGTACTCGAATTTTTAAGAATAAGTACATGATGTTTCAACATGGCGGAATGCTGTTCTGGTTCATAACATCTTGTGTATTTTTTGTGGTATGTCATCGAACTAGCTAAAGTTAAAAACACCACATTCTTTGAGCATATTAGTTTTCTCCATAGATATCTTATATACACTAGATAGTGCATCTAATTATTCTGCAATTCGAAAATTGAAGCTGTGATTGCAGTCTCAGGTCGTTCCCATGAAATGAGAAGATTCGTATGTTTTCTATTTCTATAACAGGGAACTTAAACTTTAAGTTAACCCTATTCCAAATACATTTTTAAACTATTCAAATCATGAAAGTTATTGTTGTTTTTAAGCGTTTATTAGCAAGTGGGAACGACCAACATGGCCGCCATCTATTCAAATGGGGGTAACCGCTGAAATATTCTTGGCTTCAATTTAACTAAAAGAGATGCGCTATCTAGTGTATATAAGATATCTATGGTTGGTTCCCACATGTGCATAAATGATTGACATAAGTACATTTTATGCATAAAGAAACTATTTAAGAAGCTGCTTTAAATTCCCAAGAGCAGAAAATCGCGCACTTTACAAGCAGATGTTCTTAACTAAATTTTAATACATGCACCGTGTCAATATTTTACGCATCATTACGTTCAGCTTTTTGGTAGGCCATCAATTTTAACAATAAGTTATTTCAATAGTTTTCGGGTTTTTTGGAACAACCTGTATATAGTCTTGCAAATTAACATTCCTTCCTTTGTGTGACTTTAGTCACTGCACATGCATAAGATAATTATGTCTATAATACAAAAAAAAGAATGAAGGCTATAGAAACGTAACACAGCATGATCACCGTTCCTTGTCTTCAACAAACGACTATACATTCAACACTATAACAACAACGTTTCACGACCAAAAGAAACAAGTCAGGATTTTCAGAAGGATATATAGTTTCAAAATTTTGGGGTTATTTTTTCCAGGATTGAAGCAAACAATTGTCCCGGCTGCAGCGAACGTATTGGTTTAATACAGGTATAATCTTTAAATATCAAACTATATACTATATATTGACTAATATACATAATAAGTGATATGAAAAATTATTAATCGCGATATAAACTATTATGAAGTCAGCAACTATATAACTTTTTGTTAAAACACAAACAGGACTATATCTTAGAAATTCATGTCTTAAATATTATATCAGTTGAATAATTTACGCGGAACTCTCTAAAACGTCTGATCTCAAAGCTCGATCTACCTCACTTCCTTTTCTAAGTCTGCAATGTTTGTAACATGTGTTTTTAACAAGAACCTGTGTTTGATTCAAGTTTAATTATTAAATAGTTTCTAAACAGATTCCAATTTGTTACCCAGTAAATGCTTTATATTTTCATTTTTGTCTATATATCGTGAGAAAAAGCAGTGGGGCTCGCAATGGGGGTCACTAAGTCGCATTACAAAAGCTACAATTAACGTGAATTCCCTGTATGGATGACCAGTCAGTCATGCATTGAATATGACGAAACTCGTAAATAAAAATAAAATAAATAATTTTGTTAATATAAAGCTTGAAATGTCCGCCGTAACAATGTGTGACTGCATGCCAGTGGCGCTTTAACCAGAATAGACAATAGTATAAACGACTTATTCAACAATCAAACCTCCCTAACAAGGCTGGTTTAAGACCTGTTATGTCGCAACTTAATCATGTAAAAACACGATAACTTAAAGGTTGCCTAAAACTAAAACTGTCGCATGCAACCTGCTTACAATTACTTAAGATGTATACTGTGTCAATCAAGCACACAACTCGCTTATACATTGTCGTAAACGAGTTGATTTACACAGTACAACTCAAGTTGTAAGCAGGTTGCATTGGACAGTTTTAGGCAAAAGTTGTGTAGTATAAATAGTCCTTATGAGAGAAAATAGCCTGGGTACGAGGTTGCATGAGTATATCCTGGTCCCAAATCCTTAATCTGTCAGAGCTAAACTAATTATGTCAGAGCTAAACTAATGGACACATATTTATGTCGGGGATCAAAAAGGATAACTAAGTATAAAAAACTTAAATCGAAAGTCACTTACTCCTCTTAAATCAGTAATATATTCATGCAATGTTTACTGCAGTTGTATACGCAGCGCGACTCGAATTTTTCGGACGATTCAGGTAAGTAGTTTTTCGTTTAATTTGCAAAGAGCTTATTATTCAGTATGGCTATAGCTTTTGACTAATTGGGGCATATAAATACATTCATATGTCCCTAAATACAAATATATTTTAGAAGTGTACCATGCGAAATATACTGAAAGATAC